ACCAGTTACGACCTGGGTCATTGTGATACCGGCTCAGTTACGACCTGGGTCGTGGTGACACCGGCTCAGTTACGACCTGGGTCATAGTGACACTGGCTGGTTTCGTCGGTTTAAGGGCTGGCCAGCTGGCCGCAGCGGTGTTTCACTAGCATCGAGCTTCGCCTCTTATTGGTAGGAAAGATGAATGGTTGAAACGGTTTCTTCTCGGTGTTTTCTTTTCTTTTCTTTTGGTTTTATGTTGCAAATTTTAAATATCTCACTTACAATCCCGGTATGTTTTTCAGTGCACCACTGTTAATAGTACGTAATTATAACAGACCTCATTTCGAAACTAGAGATTTGTTACCCTGGCAACCCATGTTCCATACCGTGACACCAAGACCTCTGACCAATCACAGAATGAGCTTGGCTGCTCAAATGGCAGCAGGTTTCTAGCGGGGTGATATTTTTAGTTGTTTCAACAGCCTTGCTTTTAAGTAATGCCGGAGAATTCAGAGTCAATTTCTGGTAGGAGCATGTAGATATTGGGAGCAAAGGTTAGAATACATGGATACACACACGTTTCGAATGGTGTATGTGAAATTCACATTTTGAATAGATGTGGTAAGCGCGTAGTTCGAATGTGATGGTGCTAACTGTGCGGTTAGATTCAGTGAGAATTTAAACGTGCAAACCACATCAAATGAAGGTGCGTGAAGATGAGGTGATCGCGTACTTAAAGTGACAAATATTTCATACGTTTATCGATGATTTTTGACGGTGCTCTTAATGTGTATTTTATTGCTGTCTGTGAGCTTCTTTTTTTGGCACCATCAACCACTTGTAATTTAACTCGACCCAAACACTTAGCCACTCGTCTCGAATTGCTTTTCTCTGGAGTCTCATCTTATATCACACGCTGGGTTCATAGATACTCAAAGCTCACATGCCACTCTATTACCCAAGAACCACATACTTGTCTCATGACCTGCCGGACTCCACCGACCCCGTTCCTCTTGCGGGCCGACCTCGCCACAGGTCACGCTGTGCTGAGCTCACCCGGCTCCACCAATTATCACTCTGCACGTATTCGCGTGACAGTGGAGTTCCAACCAATCAGAGGTCCGCTCCAGTCAAGCCGGGTCAATTTGCGGGACAAGGCGGCAACGGACGGGTGTTGTTTAACTCAACCCTTTAAAATCACGACACTAACATCCAATACTTTTACCGATACTCACACGCGCATACTCATACTGATATTTGGTATATGATTCTATGTCATTTCCTCGACATCTAAAAATAATAGCCTTCTAGCAATATACTTATACTTTCCAATTAGCAATGACCTAGTTTACCTGTATTCCTCAAATCATTACGCATCACAAGGGGTGCAGAAATAGTCACCAAAAGGTGTGGTTGCATCCTTTATGCAAATGCAAGCATATGCAACCGAAGTGCAAATTCGCAGGCGCACGTTTGTTATGACGCTTACCAGAATCCTACCATATTATGCGTCGATTTGATGCTTTGACAGAAACAACACAGGAGGGAAGCGAGGGCGACGTTTTGGTAACAGTTGCAGAAGCATTTAGAGGTAACGTTTATGTAGTTCATCAGACGGTCCGCATTCATCAGACGGCTGGTGGACGCCATTTCAGAATGCTTACTTTCGGTGTAGTTAGGTCTGGCAATTCCAGCCAACGAAATCGGACCATATTTATTTATTTGCGGTGTTGATGACTAAACAAACCCCTGGGAAAGGCGCGATTGGTTCGGGTGGAGATAGTTCACAATGAACTGGAATGCGCAATGTTCTGGACCGTCACGTCGATCAATGGCAATGCACTTGAGAGCAGACAAATAACCTGACTTCTATAGTAATGACACGCTTGCTGTGGAATTCGTTTTCAATGGTTCCTAAATGAATTATTCCTGAACCAATGAGGCTAATCTCTTTACTGCCAGAGCTTGTGGTTTGAGACGCCAAAAAGTGGGCATTGTAATGGATGACGGCGTTGTCGGTAAATGCATATCTTTCGTGTTCTCTGTAAGATATGACTCCATGCGTCTGACTTGGCATGTTGTTGGCATGCCTGTATAAGCGTATGTAAGGAAGAGTAGGAAGAGTCATATCAAATTTTACTCTTAGCTTCCTCCTGTTTCTGTTTAATGAAGACAGAACTGAAATTAGTATATGTGCAGGCAGCTAAAGTATTCAGCTCCGTCTAAAAAGACGCAATTTTGGAACGCACGTCTTAGTTTTTTGGTAAACGACTTGTGAACGAGCCCTTTCAAATAAAGAAGCCTGCCTTATCCCGGAGTAGGCTGGATCACATCGTGGGGTAAGTTGTGCTTGTGTTTTTTTTTCATAGAGTAAGCTGCATTGCAAGCAAGCTTAATGCGTTACGACATGTAGACGAATGTCATCTGCTGTGCTATTTCGCAAGTTGTCGTGATCGCGACCTAACAAGTCAGTGACGAGACAAGTCGTGACATTTTAATCAATCAGTTTTTTTTTCTTTTATGGCTACTGCCACCTCGATTTCGGTTGGATAAATCATGAAAATCACGTCCGTGAAACGTGGACAGTAAGTCGGTCAATAACAGATTGTCGGTACATTGTATGAATGATGCAACATGCCTTACGCACAACTGATACAACATGTACCACTCGCCATCCTAGAAGCACGTTGGCGCCACCCTGAAATTCTTGGTCAACACAGATCAAGCGCTTTGTAGTATGTACCAGACATATACTTCCCCACCACTCAGTATAGCGTTCATATTGGTTTGCTATGCCCCAAACCATTAAACATAAATTTACGCCAATCACTGTAGTTTTAACGCTATGCCAAAAAAAAACAGATTCGTGGTGCTTATACCCAGACGCGTGCACACATGCAGCCGGAAATACGCTGAAAGTTAGACTGAGCTACTGCGTGTCAGCCGAGTGACTTAAGACTGCCATCTGTCGCATAGATTTGGAACAAATTGCCTTGGTATTACATGGACATGATACGACGCACCCCAATCTCCCCAGGTGGTGAAAACATTTCAATTTTCTTTTCCGAACTGACGGATGTTCGGAATTTACTTATTATTTACCAAAGTAAGAGCGATTCGGACTAATGGAAGTCAGGCTTCGTCACGCCACATTCGATGACCAAACTGGTATTTTCGAAAAGGCATTCACAAGCGGAATTTACGTGAAGTTGCAGTTGGTATTACAATTTTGTTTTCATTTGTACTTGTATACTGCTCCAATAGTTGTTCAGTGAGTTGAGGGCTAAATGTGTATTACTTGTTAAGGCAGGGCGGCATTGGCCTTGCATGCCGAAACTGCAAGGACAATTATGAGTAGTAGAACGAAACAAATAATAGTGCACGGTTGTCTAGCATTTAACCGAATTATATCACATCCCTGCACACAAAAAAACAAAATGGTGGGTGTCCCGGGGATTTAAGGCGACTTCCTGACTTATGGATGAAAGGACATGATTTTAACCCCTGCACAGCACATCGTAAACAGCCAAAGAAAGCACTGGTCTTTGTAAGTTTTGTGATGTCCATTTCTTATTCTTCGAGTTGTTCTTTGCTGAGCTGCATGGGTTGATCAAAGCCTTCGAAGAAAAAAACGCACGGCAAACTTACAGATCGGAGGAAATTGCTGTAATTCTGAACGTACTGTCCGTTGAGAGTAATACCGTTGTCCCATTTTCCCCTGATGCTGTCGATGCCCCTGGGGAAGAACATCCTTGGCTGGCTCTCCATCCACTCCTTAGCAATTCCATGCACAGGCTCATCATCACTGACCTGCCTTCCCTGATATGAGAATTCAGAGACCAGAAAAGAAGAAGGCACTTGAAACCAAGTCCGGACAATATGGAAAGTACTGCAGTTCTTCAAAACCATAGATGCGAGTGGCGGTCTGCTCAACTCGAGCATTGTAAACAGACGCGTTGTCTCGAAGAAGCAGGCCACCGCCTGTCAGCTTTTCTCGCCTCCTCCTTGCGAGGAGGCGAGATGCACCGTCAGGCTGGCGCGTCAATCCTCGATGATTTCTCTTGCTTCTGTGCGCAGCCGATCATGACGGACCCCCAGAAAATCATCGCCATCACTTTGCCTGCAGACGCCTGGGTGCGAAACTTGGGAGACCCTGTGTGCTTCCACTGCGTGCTCTCTTGCTTTGATTCGGACTCCCAGTGGCGAAGCGACGTCTCATCTCCTATCAGCAGACTTGAAATGAAGTCCGCTGGGTCACATCTGTAAGAAACAAAAGACTCCTCATTCGATACGAGCCTCTGATGCCGATCGTGTGGGCTCACGATTCTGGGCACTCATCTGGCAGCCACCTGCTCATGTGGAGACGATCACGGGTAATGGCTCAAAGCCTACCAAATGATACGCGAATCACATCCACAATTACTCTGGTATTGATGTGCCTCCTTCTCAAGATCAACCACTCCATAGCGTTGATTAGTTCGGGCGTTGTGACCTCAGAGAGTCTCTCTGACCGAGGGTTGTCTTCAAGTGAGCTACGCCCGTGTGCAAAATGGCCGGTCCACCGCCGTGGGCTAAAGGAGGCCGGTCTCCGCATACACACATTTTTCACGCATTCTCTTATTTCCCTTAAACTATAGAATATTGGGTGCTATACAGCATGCCAAGTCGTTTGTCGTGAAATGAGCCAAGTGATGCAAGCAAAAACAAAACTATTTATGTTTTGGAATTCGAGTGGGTAAGTTTAACCCCAACGGACTAAGATTCGGTTTCAATTTCGATTTTTGACAACCACTTTGGGGCGAATTCGCCTTTGATTTAGAGCTGTGTCTCCTTCGGCTCAGATTCGTAATCGACTTCATCCAAGCAAAATCAAACAAGTCGGCTCCGCAAGTTGATGGCGCTCTGGAGGTCCGATGCGTAATATTAACAAACTTCGTCCCCTTCTGCGCTTATCTGTCTGCATACCCGCAATATGAAATGCCAAAGTTATCTAATCTGAACATGCTTTCCTCTCGCAGGGGTGCACGGATCCAAGATCCACTACATCCAAGAAGGTGTGCTCAATAAGTACGCCATCGGCTACGAGGTGCCCATCGGCGCAAACATCACCAGCATTCGCTTCCACTGGCAGAGCCTGATCCGAAAAGCCGGTCGGTACTAAACAGCGCCAGCGGACCTCAGTGTGGTGTGACCGCACAGAGCTAAAGCATTGGGCCAGTAGTGTAAAGCCCCGGATTCGTTCCTCTGGTCACTGTAGACGCACTGAAGGTGGCATGCGAACAGCTGAGGAGGTACGGGGCAGATGGCGCGTGCAAGTGGCCTAGGGTTTGGAGGGTTTTCAGTGGTGCGTTTCTGGGATGCCTGCTCATGCTGGAAAAACATTGCGGACCATATTAGAGCCACTGGCGTCGCGTCCATAACTGTTGACTCGTTCAACGTGGCGCTGTACGTGAACGACGGAACTGTGCGCGGAGCGCCCAACTCTCGTGATCTCGTCAGCATCGATGCGAGCATGCCAGCGCAGGTTCACCCTGAAATGTGTCCCTGTAACCGAACGACATGTGTCGGCCGCCTCAGATGCCGTACGAGATCAGCTTCCGCTGGAACGACCCGGAGGCGATGGAGCGGCCGCGGGCCAACATCTCGTACGTGGGCTACGTGCCGCGCGTGGAGCAGGTGTTCAGGTGAGTTTCGCTTCCGGCCGCGGGGAGGGGTGGGGGAGAAGTGCGCCGGCGCGTCACAGCTGGGCGGCTCGCTGGCAAGTTTTCCAGATGGCGGATGAGGGTCTCCAAGCTGGCCCCTCGCCGCCCGCCACAGTGAGGTCGATTGGTTTGGGTGCTTTCATATTCGGATGACGCGAAAAGTTGTGAAGGTTCTTAATTGCGTCTACCTCGTGTTCGGTATTGCAGCGCAATCACTTGTCTGCCACGAAATTTTCCAGCCAAATAGGGCCAGTAAAATCCAGATTATTTAAGTGAGTGTCGAGTAATGTTTAAGTGCACGTAACACGCTCCTCTGTTCCTGAAAAGTGTCTGTTGGTAGCAGCGCACTGTGTTAAAGTGAGGCATGCCATTATCTGTTACACGCTAAAAACTAAAGGTTCGTCTGCATCCATATCTCTCAATGTTGTATGGCCACCGCTCAAAAATGGTGAGAGCTGCAACAACCGTTTTTACACCAAAACTTGTGCAAGGTTATACCTTTGCGCGATAGGTTATACGTTATACACGTGCGACGTCTGAGACGCCCGCGAGAGAGGCGAGAGATGGGATCGCGGCCATCTTCGTATCAGTAGCATGTACGTTTGTAGACACGTGTCCCATCTAAGTGGCGCAAGAGTTCTTCAGGATGAAAATCAGGCATTGCTATCCGGAAAACATATTACAGCAAAAAGAAGACAAATGAGGCATGGCCAACTGATGTGAGACAAATTATATTATTGCATTGATACGCATAAATACACCCACAATGGAACCACTACAAAGACTGAAATGTGCCTCCACACGGTAGGTGCCAAAATACGATCTAGACATCGCCTGGTCAGAATTTTGACTGCAAATCGATAGCCCATAGTGTGCCAGAGTTTTGATGCCCCTTGATTTCACCGGCTGCTTTTCATGGGATGAGATTTGTTACGGCATTTTAGGCGGAGACATTCGAAAGCTTTCGATACAAGCTGCCAAAACAATGTGACAAAAGAACATAAAACTAAAGCTTATTTTGTACGGAACGAAGTCAGAGAATTAAGGTCCTTCTGTCACTATATTCCTTATCAGAGCCCTGGTCCAGTCCGCCGTCGGCGGCCACTGCCCCTGGCCCAGCTGTCCCCCGCATGATTGACTGCAAACTGGTCGTATGGCTACTTGGCTGCATATTCATGAATCAACATTTCTGCTTATAAGTGCGTAAAACATATATTGGACACCTGCAACAGTATCTTTTTCCAAACTTGTCTTCCCTTACACCACAGCCACTGTCAAAAAACCGGGATGCTACATGCCTTTCGCATGAATTGTTCCAATGGACACTCGGCTGACCTCTGTTCAGCGTAGCCGACTTCTTCTGCCTTTGTATGTAGTCAGGGGCGTAGCCAGAGCCTTGGCGACGGCACACGGGGCTGGTAAAAGCCCCCTTGTGATGACCCCCCCCCCCCCCCCTATAAGTCACCGGATATTGTTTACTTGTTAACAACTACAGGGTGACACGGTTTTTTTGCTTTGTTGCTATTCTTAGCTTGGAACCAGAACCGGAACAGAAACCAGAAGCTACCGCCAGATCAATTCTGTTTGTATATCGAAGTCAATAAACTACAGAAAGCGGACATTGAACGACTGCATGGGATAAATCACTGGCGATTTTGATGTATAATGGCTTAGTGGACTTTTCTACGCCGATGAAATTCAGAAGTTTTCTCTAAATTTGCACATGGGTTCTATAAACATTTGAAGGACCCCGCAAAGATAGATTGTAGATCGATGTTGGTCTGGAAATTTTTTCAGCTAGAATGGATTAGTGATACAAATTATATGACGTGATTTCAAACATGCGCGCTCGTGAATCTTGGCAACAAAATACTCCACGCCGGGCGTTGCTGTCCCCATAGGCCGTGCAGTGTTGGCTCAGTGGCTAGCACTGAGCCGTGTCCAACGGACGGACGAAAATGATAGCGTTTCTGAAAGAAGTTCCTTTCAACGCCTTAGGACACCAAATCTTACGTTGAAAAGGTAATCTGGGCGTACCTTTCACCTGTGTGATTTTTAAATTGATGATTATTACGCACGGGCCCTTACAGCACCGAGAAGTGAAGCCGGAATCTGATGATGGAAGTGGAAGAGTAAAGGTAGAATCTCTTGTTTGTGCTGTTGCTGTTAACATGTCCAGAGGACAAATTAGCACGGCGCCCTCCGCTTGGCGCCACCTGCAGTGGCCAATACCGCTCGGTTTTACGGAAACTGTAATCCAGGCCATCGCTGTCCTGGGTCCCGAGGTTGGGGACGCGCATATTCAAACCTTTTGATGTAATTTGTTTCATTAGCCGATTTTGAAGAGAACGAACGTTCTCAGGTAAATATTGAATGACCTTGTTCAGTTTTGAACTCATTTCGACTCACTCCATTCAACAATAATAAGACCCTTTATTTCCTTCCGGACAAGGGGCAGCTTCAGTAGAACACTGGGGACACTCGACTGTCCCTGGTTGAGGGCTGAACAGGCATTCCGTCCAATCACGGGGTGTATCTGGGCTGCCATTCCGGCGTCACGAGGCGGGATCCCCTGGTCGATCCGGATGGCCTTAGAAAGATATATCATATCACATTGTTCTCCTCCCTAACGCGGGAGGCCTTCTGACCGGCGCAGTTGGCCCCGGATCAACACGGGAACCCTCATTGACGCAACGACATTCCTGCTCACCGAAGGTCGTCCAATAATTGTCACATAGACTCCAGTTCCAAATTTGTTCTGTGTTCTTCAGAAATATTGAGGACCCTCAACCCAGATTGTGGATTGTAATGGAGTAGATGGGTAGGGTGTGTATGTAGGCATATATATATATATATATATATATATATATATATATATATATATATATATATCTATCTATCTATCTATCTATCTATCTATCTATCTATCTATACATCAAGAGTAAGTTCCAATATATATATATAATATATATATATATATATATATATATATATATATATATATATATATATGTGTGTGTGTGTGTGTGTGTGTGTGTGTGTATGCGTATATATGTATGAATATATGCACATGTCTATATGGTATCTATGTATACATACACATGCGTGAATATATACATATACATGTACAGATTCATATTATATATATATATATATATATATATATATATATTTATATTTATTGCGCTTGGCTGCTATTGTAAGGGTGAGACACACACAAACTTTCATGTTGCACACGGAAACCATACTTCATCATCAATATCAATGGTTCCTGCAATGGGAGGGACATTGTGCGCCTTTCATAGCCATAATCTCACTCACTGGCCATTACAGCCCGCAGTTAGCACAGCACTATTACCAGCGATGCGGCCCGCCTCTGCGGCCAGGCCGTCCCGCCAGGCTCGGCCGCTGGGCCGGCCAGGTTGCTCAGAAGCGACCGACCAGCGCCGCAGCCAGCGCCGAGCAGCATGACGGCCGATGCAAGGCTATATTACCGCAGTTTTACATGCGCAACGATTGAAGAAAAAAGAAGTGGTGGAAACGTAGCGTTTGTTTATTTATGCCTGCGTTCTTCTCAACTATACTGGGGCGTATATATAACGTTCGACCGTGACTGACTGCGGTGTTTACGTGTCGTAAATTGTCAACGTATATGCCCCGTGAGTTCATTTTGTTTTTCCCCTTCTCATCCGACGTCTGTGTCTGTATACCGGTCCGTATCTAAAAAATGACAGTTCAGCAATGACGCCAATCAAACATTTGAAAAGATTCAAAGGCTGCAATCAGCTGGTTGTGTGAAATGGAAACGGAGGCCTTAGACATGATTTGCTCAGGTCTCTTTACGTTAAGTCTTCGCTTCAACATTCAACAATATTCCCGGTTTTTTAGCATTGCATGATATGCGTGATGACACTTGGGGGGCACAGACAGCATTATTAGGCATAATACTATTACTACCCTTGTTTGTACGCAGAATCTCAAACGGTGCGGTGGCGGTTGACCGTAAATGAAGCATGGATAGTGGCAAGAAGGAAACGTGGATCATTTCATAGATGTCATGTTGTATGTACTCCGTGCTGCTGCGTGATGTGTTTACTTACAGACGGCAAACACTAAATGAAAGCCTGACTTCCGGCTCCTGAATATGTACATGACACTGTGGTGTTACACGTGCGTGCCATAGCCCCATGGGGCCATTGTGACGCATTCGAATTCTGTAAGGTAGGCAGGATGAGCGTGAGTAATAGTGCCAGTGCCGGACGAAAATTGTCTTCGCTTTCCTAGAACTGTATACTGTTTCTGCCCATTCAGAGTGTAATGAACTTGGAATACTTTGTCCAAGCATTATGAAATACCCAGCATTATGCGAAATATGCGCTTTGGTACTCTTTTCAATGCAAAGTCATCAGTTGTAATTTTAGACGGCCTAGCCTGTGACTTAAACGCAATGTTCCGCATTTGAAGATGCTGAAGCAATCATCTGGTATGATGAAACTAGCTCACTTTTAACTATTGGTATGCTTTTAAGCGGAAAGGCTGTTCTAGACAGGTCTTCGTTTAGTAAATGCGTCCTTGTTTGATTACCTTGTCATCGTGCCTTGCACAATATTGATTGAGAGCCATTTGACGGCCGTTGTATCCGGAAATCGTGCTTACAAACGCCAGGTATGAATGGCTCGACAGTCTTATTTCGTTTTGCCTTGATCGCCGCATGGCTAATTAAATGGCAGTATTTGAACGACGTTACTATGGCAACATGAATGCCTGGGTGATCTTGAGGTGGTCTCCCCGAAATAGCCCGCACATTTTCGCGGTCGTGTAACTCAAAAATGAGAAAACTAACACTGCCCTTTTTAGGTTTTAAGAACGGCCGGGCTGTGAACTGGACCGAACGATTCAAGATGGTTTTCCAGTTCAAACTCCCTTTCAGATGTGGAACACTCGCTTTGATGACATAGGTCGAAACTTATGTACATTTCGGT